TTTGACCGTATCGTTTCTTCAAATGTTCCAGAGCCTGTTTGTAATTGTCCGCACCGACCTGGAACCTCGATACCGATTGCTTCGCCTCCCCAGTAAGGGATGACAGCAGGTAATTGAATTTCTGCAAATTCGTTAAGTCGTGCTCGTGAACATTTTCTTTGAAAAGAGTCTGAAAGTTTTCCCATTACCAACGCTTACCGCTGAAGGTGGGTATGGGAATGGGTGGAAGTTTGCCATCGGACAGGAAATTCATTGGCCTTGTTTCCTATTGTCCTTCATGATCATACTCTAACGACTCTAAGAGATCGTCCAGTGTATAAAGAAGGTCCTTCTTGCGATCATGGAGCATCATAATGATACTATGTGCTCTGTTCATGAACTTGTCGAATTGTGCGTCATCGTCGTCTGTTCGGTCCTCCAGGTTTTCGAGTGATCCGGCGAGCTTGTTGAGCGAAGATTCGACAAGTGCAGCATGGTCGTCGCATATGCGTATGGCTAGTCGACATTTATTGGCCGTTTTCTTCTTGTCCGTGTCCTGGGGTGGTCTCAGAAAAGCCTTGCTTTCCTTCAACCACTCCTCTATGGACTGGACCAATTTGGTTAGAAGACTTCCTTATGTTTGAATAATGACGGACATCTTGTCGAGAAGGTATGTTAGGAATTTCGGTTCCCAATTTGGTGCTCCGTTAACGTTACCCTTGGGTTAGTGTTGTTAGTACAATACTGAATCTGATATAACCACACAAAAAACTGTCCTCAATAGTGCAGGTTACGAAAAAGAAAGGGAGGATTATAGTGTTCTCGCGTCACTTCAACCCCAATACCTCGACTCTTTGTGTTCAAAGAGTTCGCAAGGGAGACCGAAAAAAATCGATTCAAAGATCCGATTTTGTGCCGCAAAAAGAACTGTCGGCTCCGTGTACCGTAGAGAAGGCGAATTGGAAGAAAGATCGCACCTTCCGAGCGTATAAGATCCACCAAAAAAACGGCCGATGCACCAGTTGAGGAAAATAATCGATAGTCAATAGTCGAGCTAAAACTCCAATATGCCGCGCGGGTAGCGAATATTCAACCTCAAACTTGGGTAATTAAACTTTATCTATTATTAACCATTAACTAACCAACGCTATTAACTACAATACCTAATAATATTCAACAACGATTAACTCCGAAGTAACAATTATATTACATGTGCGAGTAAAGCTGAAAATGAATGAAACTAACTACCTGTCGGTTGATCTCGAGCACTTAACCAATAGTACTGTGTATACCACAAACAAATGACGACTAAGTTGCTTAAGTGCGAGATATAAGGTTACTTAAAGTGCATTTTCCTAGAGAGGTTACATTAATCACGACGATATGGATGGGAGAGCAATTCTAGAGGAGAGCAAGGGAAAAAAAGGAGAAAAACTCTTTTCCACTAACCGCGTCTCATTTATATACACACAGCGTTGGTATAAACAACATCGCACATGGGAACAATCTGATAAAAATATCAACATCCGCCGCCCGATTGCGATACACAACTAATAGGTTAGAGACATACTAAGCCATTTGAACAGCATGACTCAGTCGATTATGGGAACCTTCCGGATTAACCAGATAAGACATCAAAGAACCCTCAAAGAACAAGGTTAATCTCATAGTGCAATGAAATTTAAGTTATTGTGCAAAATAACTTATTGTGTAAGAAGAATACTGAACGATTCAGTATACTCCGGCCTACTCAATTGGCTTCTGCGTCTTTGACATTCTCGAAGTTCCGCATTCTTCACTCTGCTTTCGGTACGCCATCTGACGTGCCGCTCGGATGTCCGCGTCGCAGTCATCTAACATTCTGCGGTACTTGTCGACCTCGGCCATCGTTTCCCATCGCTTCCGTTGGGCCTCTACAAACTCCTCCGGCCGGCGGCAAATACTGGCGTGGTGATCGGTCTTCTCGTGCGGGCGAAGTTGGTTGCAGTAAAAGCAGGATATCTTTTTCACGCAGGGTCTTTCAGGGTGTATTTCGATGCATATCAAGCATCTATCCGTGGACTTTATACTCCTCAGTCTTTCGTCCACTGTTCGAACTGCTGGGCAAGCGTCTGAATAGTGCCTCCCGATTGCTCGACAGAAGATGCTTGGGAGCGTGGCCTCACTATTCTTCAAGATGCGATCTCCGGAATGGCGTTCCCTGACTATGTTGTTGCTCAAAAAACGGTCGAGATCCTTCAGTTCCTTTTCGCTTCGTCGTAATTTTTGTTCGCAAATGCGCCGTTTTTCAAGGAGTTCCTCTTCTACGTCGTGTTTCCTCTTCGATCCTTTCCGGTTGAAGACTGATTTGGCCTCCTGAAGCATTTCTTTCAGTTCATGGAATTGTCTGGTGAAGGCTCGTTGCTTTGCTTCCATTCCCTCCACTATTTGGTGCATTCGGACCTGACATTCCCTTTCTAGCTTGTGCATGGTTTCTTTAAATCCTCCACTTTACTACGCACTTCATCTTGAAGGTCAGCCAGCCCGAGCGGAGTTCCATCATGGTCTCCTCTTCTAATCGTGCGACAAGCTGGGAGTGATGTTTTGTTTCTTCTAGCGCTATTTTCTCCCCATCCAATAGTGACCTGTAATATCGCATGTGTCGTTTCGCAAATTCGGCGACATCGTTCCTGTCATGATTGCGTCGTGTCTCTGCCATTTCAGGATAGCCTGGTTCTCCCGGAGCCGTGCGAGTGAGGTTGACCTCGTTCTTTAGTTCTTGTAGGAATTCAGACGCAAGAGTTCCTCCACCTCGTTGGCTGCCAGAAGAATTTCGTACCATTCGTGCGCTAACACGAAGTTGTCCAGATAGATCGTGAACTACTCTTTGTGGTGCTCGTGCTCCTTGTGTAGCTGCTTCAACTTCATGTAGAAGTGGAGCGCTCCCCCTCTTCTGTTAATGACGGTGTCTTTGTCTGCTTCCAAGTTGACGAAATGCAGTTCGTCTTCTTCCACAACGTCGTTGCTTTCGTAGCATTTGTCACCGTAAAACTTCAGCTTCCACTGAATCAGTTCTACTGAAGGGCGACCCGGAGATAGCCTTATGATCTCTATTTTCTTCTTTAACTCGTTTATGAGACGTCGCTCTGCTTCACCGACGGGCGCCATTCTAAAAATTTCATCTTTCGTGTGGTATTTTTGTTGCTACTTTAGTGTCGGTGTAGTCTCGATCGTGTTAAAGTTGTTTCCCATCGTGCCGTGTTAGGTTAGTAAGTCCGGTAATTTTGCCATGCGAATTAGTCGAGGAACCATGAACAAGTAGTCGATGGGTTAGTCTTGTTGTTAGAGCAGCTTTTCCGGTGACTTCGTCGTGAACCGTTGAGTAGAAAGTCGTAGTGGTATGCATAGAAGGTAGAAGCTGGCAATCGCGATAAAGGTTAGGAAGCGAAAGGTCATGCGAAGGAAGACAAGTACGAAGCTGTTAGCTATACAAAGGTATGTTAGCGAAAAAGCTGCAGCGACAAGTCCAACAGTTAGGAGTAGTGTTCCGCTCCAATTCAGGAAGACATCAACTATGTGGCTGATGTCTGGAAGGTTAATCTCCGAGAACACTACACTTTCTCCATTGATGAGTCGTGTTATTGCCATGGAAATACTGCCAGTATAGTGCAGAATACCAGTTATCTCGAATCGATGTCGTACTTTTCCACAGTGCACTGTACATATCGCCAGGAATCGTGCAGTATCTGCGTAGAATCTCGATTTGGACGGTGTTCCGTTCTTGGTGCATGGTACAGTAAATGAATTGTCTCCGCATCGTATTTCTGCGTTCTCTTTCGCAGTGGAGGACTTGCACGTCACTGTCGCCGAGGCTCCTTTAGGGCGTTTGTAACATCCTTGACAATGTGTATTTTCGATGGTGCATACAGCGTCGGATACCAACGAAGTCGTCTGGAAGGTCCCTTGTACGTGTAAGACGAATTTTGCTGTTGGAAGTTGCGGAATTCGTGCAAAAAGTTGACTTTGATTCGTCATTAACTCCACATTGGGTCGGAGTTGTGGTAGGTAGTCATGATGCCGCATGTGTGCTGTTAGGCTGCTTTCCTTACAACTGCAGCGCATTTTTACCTCTGCTGGCGTGCATTTGCAGTCCTCTTCGATTTCACACGTCATATTGCGAGCTTCTTCCGGTATTCGACAGATTAGTGGAAGACGATAGAGACGTGGAGCCATGGCCGTTTCCGTGTCGTCCCATATGAAGGTACTATCAAGAACCGGTGTAGGTGGAGCACCAAGAGATGACAACGTAAGAGTCCACCATGCGAAGGTTTTCGGTTGATTTGGTGATAGTCGTATGTGAAATGTTTGTTTCGGCGTGTTTATTGTGCTCATTGTGCCTAGAATGGTCACCGACGGTTTCCATCTCGCACATTCGAAAAATTCGAAGATGTTCTCGTCATTTGGAATCAAGTAGATTCGGTAGAAGAGATATCCGGAACTAGGTTAGAAACAGTCGCATCCTAGTCCCTCGCAGCTTTCTGTGCATCCCGTAACACCTGGATACTGGTTGGCTCGTTCTAATTCCCTCAGAAGAGAAGATCGTTTCACCGATGCGCATTTCTCGTCCTTGCAAGATCCGACCCGTGAGCACTGTTTGCTATCTAATAGTAGCCCATATGTTGTGCATCGCGTTTTTTTGGTGGTTTCCTTCTCACAAATTAGTTGGAGTTGTTGCCAGAGAAGACGAAGCTCTGTGACCGTTGAATCGTTTGCTGTTAGTCTCAAGCATGCTTCTCTACTAAAAGGATTAATTTTCACGACTTCCGTTGTGTCGATTGTACACGCGTCCTTTTTGCTTGTGATCCTGCATATTTCGGTATGCTGGTGGAGTACATCAACTTCTTGGCATCCTTGTGTTAATACGGCTATGACGGAGACGGCGACTGCTATCTCTGCCCACATGCGACGATTACGTCGGCGTTTCGGTAGTGTGAGCAAACAGCGGAAAATTGCCATGTGAAGTTTGAAGATGGTCTTTGTTGCCCTTGCCGCAAAGGAACCAATTATTTGTACAATATTCAGCAGTGGTTTCCCTATTACCAGCGGTACTGCGAAGACGACATATATCATCATAGGGATAATATAATATATATCCCTATTCCGAGTCCCGCTAAGGCTGCACGTGGCCAGCATTCCGGGTTAGCGATGTTTTCCACGCAGAAGGTACAGTCTATACTGGGGCAAAATGGTGTTGCCCTACAGGTAGTTTCCACTATTTCCATATTGGCCACATTGTTGATCTTCCACTTCACTTGGTAGTCATGGAGGGTTATCTGGAATGGGAATCTGACCTTTTCTATCATTTCTGGCGACGAGAACGATAGACAGCAATTCTCCGTGCAAATATCATATGGATTATTCCCATTTTGTGTAAGTTGTACGCCGCCTGCTATACATGAAAGTTGATGTTCCTTATCCTGGTTGGTTGACTCGGCACGATCCACGTGTATTCGTCTACGTTTGTATCGCCATTTTCCAAGGGAATAATCCTGTTGACCGGCCTACAGATGCGATGTTTATTTGTTAGTTCGACGGTGACCTCCCGTGTCGTTCCCAATCCGTCCTTCCCTAGCTGCACGATTCGACCAATGATCCATGTGTTTCGTGGTTGATCCGATTCACAAAGTAGTACTATCATACCCTCTTGTGGAGTAAGCCTGGATCCACGTTTGTTGTCCATGTGGCGTCGATGATATTCTCGTAATCTTGTAAGGTATTGTGTCCTCCATATGCGCAAAAATGTTCCGTCAATGCCACTGATGATTTGAGAGCTTTTTCTACTTGGTTTTGTGTCCGTAGTTGTATTGCCTCTTGCGGGGTATGATAGGTTGGATCGCCATGTGAGGAGCCGATGTATTCCAGTGGGTAATCAAGAATTACGCCTCTCTGTAAGAAATCGATTGGTCTTAGACATGGTTGTTGTTCCCACCGTTCCTCCTTCTGCGCGAGTGGTCTGGAATTTAACACTGCTTCTATTTCCGTAAGCATTGTTCGTAGCACATCGAATGAGACCTTGCGACGTCCCAACGCTTTGTACAACGACAACTTGATGGATTTAATCAGCCTTTCATAGAATCCACCCTGCCACGGTGCGTAAGGCGTGATACGAATCCAGTCAATTTCTCGTTGTGCTACAGCGTGGACTATATCCGAGTGCTCTATCGTCTGCTTCACGGCTTCGGGTAGAATCCGTTCACCCAACAGGAATGTTGGGGCGTTGTCGCACGTGATTGTCCATGGTATCCCTCTTCGTGCAAAAAATCTGCGAACTGCGTTCAGGAACTTTTCCGAAGTCATGTCCTCCACGAGCTCCAAGTGAATAAGTCTCGTGGTGACACAGGTAAAGATGCACTCATATGCTTTGTTGGGCTCGAATCCCGTGCCCGATATGGTTAGGGGGCCAAAGTGATCTAGTCCGATATGTTCAAACGGGTTCGCTCGCTGAACACGTTGTTCCGGGAGGTTTGCCATATATGGGTAACGAAATGGTAAGTTGTTCTGCTTCTGGCGTGGGACACATTTCCGAAGGAGTTGCGCTACCTGTTGTCTCAATTTTGGAATCCAGTAACTTTCTCGGACTGCAGACATCGTATGCGCGACTCATAAGTGATATTGAGAGTGTGCTTCCCATATGATCATTCGTGCAAGGGCTGTTTTTGGGGCGACAAATATCGGTGTTTGTGCTTATGGTGGTGTTGTAGGCTTTTAGCTATACATGTGGTCTACCACAGTCAATTGAAGACCACCTTTTAGGCGCCAAAATTGTAGGTTTTGATCTGGTATTACTGCAATTTGACCAGGGTATTTGACCAGATCAACTGGCATATAAACCCGGCCTTCTCACTAGTTATCATTGTATCCATTTCGACTTCTCCAGCAATAAATCTTCTCCGCCTCGACTCCACTTCAACTGGCGATCAGGATCGACTACGCCAAGCCGCCAGCCATCTCCATCAAGCAACGCCGACTACGATGGATCCTGACACTCTACGTGCTATTCTCAGTGCCCAAGCCGCAGCTCAGGAGAAGATGCTACAAGCCGTCATGAAGGAGATGCGAGGCATGTTTTCGTCGATGACATCCACATCGTCGACCGCTCACGCCACATCAGCTGAGTTCGTCACTTACTCGCTGTCTGCACGGCTGCACGAGTTCACGCACGACTCGGAAAAAGGCTGCACCTTCGACGTCTGGTACAGCCGTTACGAGGACATCATTACGCAGGATGGTGCCACTATCAACGAAGCAGCAAAGGCACGCCTCATTGTATCGAAGCTCGATGCACCTGCCTACGCCCGCTTCACCAACCACATTCTTCCAAGAAAAGCAGCCGAGATCTCACTGGCGGAAACTATGAAGACGCTGCAGGAACTGTTCGGGCACAACACATCAGTCTTCGCC